ATACACAGGTACACATAGACACACACACTAAACACACACCAAACACACCCACACACAGGTACACATAGACACACACTAAACACATACACACACACACAGGTACACATAGATACACACAAACACTAAACTTGCTCACAAACACAAACAAGGGTAAAATCATTTTCTATACTGTGGCCGGAATCTTTCTCCATATACCTTTACAACAGGCCCAGCTGATTACGGGGCACGTAGCTTTTAACAACAGTGCAGTGCTTTTGCCTCTGTCCTTCCTACCTCCAAGCCTTGACAACTGGGTTCATATTGTGCTCTCAACTCTGGGGCCTGGCCGAGACCTCCATATCATCAAATCTTTCAAGCTAGCTCTTTGTTTACAGTTCTGAAGAGGCCCATTGTTTCTGACTCTCCTTACTGTAAATTCATCACAGGGTAACAACTTCAGAAGAGAATACATCGCCACTCAGGGACCGCTTCCGGGCACCAAGGATGACTTCTGGAAAATGGCGTGGGAACAAAACGTTCACAACATCGTCATGGTGACCCAGTGTGTTGAAAAGGGCCGAGTGAGTAAAGAACTTTCCTGGCTCCCTGGGTCTGCTTTCCTGTTGTCCATTGTGACGGAGTCCATCCTCCCTGCCCATCCAAAGTTACACCCACAAAACCAAGTAGAGACCGTGGGAGAAAGCTATTAGAGACTTAATCCGCTTGGTTATGATAGAATCTGGATCCTTTCTTAAATTCTTGGATAGACATTTCATTCAAAGCTGTTTGCACCTGGAGCCTGGGATACTCAGAAGTAAACATGAGCGGAAAGAAAACCTGACCCCCATGGATACTCTGTCCTTCAGAGTCTGGATAGGAGAGAGATCTTACCATAGTTGAGAGGCCTCTCAGGAAAGAAGTATTTTAGCCTCTACTTGCAAACACAAAGTAAAAGATGTATATGAACTATTATTCAAACCTCTTATAGTTATAATTCCTATTTACAATCTTCTATATTATATGGCTACTTTTAGGATTAAAAAAACCCTAAATGTTAAGAGCTTAATACGCGTATAGTGGATTTCCAGACTGTTTTCTATCCTCCTGGCTAAAATAGGACCTTATGTCTTTTTTTTCTGCAAGACTAGCCTGCTTTGATAATATTTATATGAGATATATATAATTACAAGTGTTTTGGTGAGATGACTAGAATATGTACACAGTCATGTAAACCGAAATTCAATATTGCATATGTCGGTATATCCGCCTGCCTCACCACACACAGGGAAATAAAAGCCATGTCCATAGTACTCGATGCCCAAGTCTACTCATGGAAATGCAAATACCTATTTGTAGCGGGTGAGTTTGCATCTTACAAAATATATCAATTTAAAATGTGCCACAAAACATAAGAACAAATACTCAGGTCTCTTTCCTCATCTCTTCATGCATACAAACACCAGTTTAGCTGAAAGTTCTCACTTCTCAAAGTTCTCTTGGGCTCGTGGCCCAGGTAAGGAAAGTGATTTAAAAAAAAAATAAAGATAAAAGGTGAGCAAATGAAGTCCAGAGAGATGATGCCTTCCTCTTCGTGGTTTGAGCTTCAGAAAGAATGCTTTCCCTCTTCTCTCTGAAGTTCTTGGGGATGGAATTCCAGGCCTTGTATATAAGGTGCAAAGCCTCTCAGCTCAAGAACAGGAGATTATTTTAAGTCACTGTTTGTCAGTTGGTGGGGCCAGGACACTGAGGAAATCATTAAGGAAAAAAAAAAGTTCTCAAGCTGTCCCAAGAGTGAAGTACCTGCTTTGGGGGAAGTTTCTTGCTATCCCTTAGAGCAGTAGCCCGACTTTGTCCCTGCCCATAAGGTTAACAGAAAGTAAACTGTCATGTTGTTCTAGCAGCTGGGCTGGCTCCCTAACTCCAGGGATTTTAAGGAAGGAGAGTCCAGACCCACCTCACACCACGTTTCCAGACTTACCTTTTCCTGTTTGTTCTCTCCTAGGTAAAGTGTGACCATTACTGGCCAGCAGACCAGGACCCTCTCTATTATGGTGACCTCATCCTGCAGATGGTCTCAGAGTCCGTGCTCCCTGAGTGGACTATCAGGGAGTTTAAGATATGCAGTGTATGTTGCTTTACTTGACTTTATTTTAAAACCCAACTTAGGAGCCAGGTACTGTGGGATAGATCTGGAATCCCAGCATTTGGGAGGCAGAGACAGGAACAAGTACAAGGTCAGTCCTTGGATATCTAGAAAGTGTAGGCCAAGCCTGGACTACATACCCTGTCTCATAGAAAAAAAGGAAAGGAAAGGAAAGGAAAGGAAAGGAAAGGAAAGGAAAGGAAAGGAAAGGAAAGGAAAGGAAAGGAAAGGGGACAGGAAAGGAACGACCCAACTTACAAAGAAGGACTCTGTAAATCCTGCTTTTGCTGGTCCACAGCCTGTAGTTTCAGGCCACAGCCTGTGTGATCAGCTGTCAGAGGCTGTTGTTTGAGATTTGCTTGGTTGATTCATTGCCTGCTCTCCACTCTTGCAGGAAGAACAGCTGGATGCACACAGACTCATCCGTCACTTTCACTATACGGTGTGGCCAGACCATGGGGTCCCAGAGACCACCCAGTCCCTGATCCAGTTCGTGAGGACTGTCAGGGACTACATCAACCGAAGCCCAGGGGCCGGGCCCACCGTAGTGCACTGCAGGTACGGGCAACATGAGAGACGGTTATGGTGGAGGCAGGCGGTGTGTGTGTAGGAACCAGAAACAAGGCAAAGGCCTGTGAAGGTTTCTCCACACCAACCAGCCCGCCTCACCCTGCGTTTATTACGGTCTTCTCCCTTTCTAACCTCCTTCTCTTCACCGCCCACTCCGCTCTCCCCCTCACTCTCTTCTTGTTCACTTTCCTACGGCATGAGACAGAGTATCCCTAAGTGACTTCCATGTCCCCCATAACTGCCCTTCGCACCTATGGTCCAGTGTCTCGTCTCTTCGTCTCCCATTTCAGTTAAGAAGTTGACTTTACAAGTTTATTCTTCTGTTTTACTTCCTTCCAATTTTTAAAACTAATCTTTCCTTAAGTTATCATACAAGCCAGTAGGTTTCATTGTCACATTTTCATATATGTGTGTCCTTGTGCTTTACTTCTGGGTGTTTTCCTCCTCCACAGATCTCTCTCATATCCCTGCCTTCCTCTGGTGGTTCCCTCCTTATCCCTTGGGCTTTCATATCCCGCCTACTCCATTATTATCTTCTTCCTAAGATGACTGTTTCCCTTCTCGTGGCTCCCTTTCTAGCTTAATTACACACACACACACACACACACACACACACACACACACATACATGTGCATATATAATGTATGAGTTACTTTTCTATAAAACACCATGAGCAACTTATGAGAGAAAGAGTTTATGTGGGCTTATGGTTGCAAAGGTTTAGACTCTGTGATGGCAGGGACCCTGCGGCAGCCCGCAGCAGCATGGCAGTTGGAACAGCGTGCTGAGAGCTTATGTGTTGAACTATAGAGAGCAAACAGGAAGTAGGGCATGGCTATGAATAACCAAGTTCTAAACCCGCCCAAAGAGCACCACCAACTGAGCATCAAGTGTCCCATGCCTGAAACTGTGGGAGATGTTTCCCATTCCTCATGTGATTTTTCACCAAGGTCCTGCAAATAAGAGAAAACATGTCAATTTTCTTTCTGAGTCTGGTGCATAGGCTTATTTCTGCTTCCTGTTATGTTTAACTCCCTGAGATGGCTTTCTCTCTCTACCACCTGAATAAACACTATCCATCTTTCAAGCTCCCTGCCCTAGATCTCCCTCCGGGTCTAGTAGCATGTTTGTGTCCGCTGTTGATGCTATAACAAAATACTGCAGAGCAGGCAACTTCCAAACAATGGAAATTTACATTTCACAATTCTGGAAGCTTCAAGATCAAGCCACAGACAGACCGGTGCCTTATAAGAACATGATCTCAGAAGCCATGTGTGTCCTCCAGAGAAGAGAAAGTTGTGTCCTCGCATAGAGGAAGACAGACAAGAGACAGGCAAAAGGACTGAGCTAACTCTCACTCCATCTGCCTGTAGCCAATTTATGCTCTTAAATTTCTTTCCTTCTCTTGACTTTTCTTTGCTTCAGTTCATCTGTCCATAAAATCAACTTAACAAGCCATCTTTCTCTCTCTGGGGAGCCTGATGTTTAGCTAATTAACGCTTTGATAGCCCTCACTGAACGGCACCAATAAATAAGGAGCAGAGAATTACCACAGTAAAAGAAATGTCACGTGTGTTCATTTCTCCTCAGCAGCCCCACACCTTAGAAACCCTGCTTTTACATGTCCTTGGCCCCCAGTGCCTTCATGGGAATATGAAACACTAAGTCATCTCCTGCTTTCTGAAGGATGGCGGGCATTTTCTTCTTTATCTTATAAATGTGTTCACGGCCAGCCAAAATAACTGGAGGGAGTGTCTACCGAGAATAAGGATACTTATTTAAGGATTGTAAAGCACTCCGGAGGGAATAGGTGCCACAGTAACTGCAGTCAAAGCTGAGTTTTAAGACAAAAGTGAGGAAATTTACATATGCTGCTTTGTCACAAGGCTCAGTGATCTGAGGCAGGAGTTGGTGTTTGCTCATAGGTAGAGGCACCATCGCTGGCCTTAGCTTGTCAAGTGTTCAGTGCAAAGCAGCTTACAGAGACTGCTATGGTGTTAATGCTAAAGAGAACTTGTACAGAAACCAAGCATGTGTGTAGCTCAAAGCAGGGTGTGGATGGAGAATAAGGAATTTTTTGTTTGTTTGTTTTTCGAGACAGGGTTTCTCTGTATAGCCCTGACTGTCCTGGAACTCACTCTGTAGACCAGGCTGGCCTTGAACTCAGAAATCTGCCTGCCTCTGCCTCCCAAGTGCTGGGATTAAAGGCATGGGCCACCACTGGAATTTTTAGCGGGGCTGTAGAAAGCCCTTATGAAAGTATCTCTCACAAGAGGGCAGTTCCCTTCTCTGTATTCCCGGCTTTAATTTTTGTCTGGGTCAAACAAGAGCAAACTCATCTTGGTCTCATTAATTTGTATAGCAACAAGGATTCTGCATTAAGGATCAATTTAGCAATCTCTATCAAAAGTGACCATGCTCTACCACGAACTCAGAAGCTCCCCTTCCAGTTACCAAGTGAGAAATTGCCACACAGATGCACAGTGACGTTCACGAGACCTGGTTTTTAATAGAAAAAAATAACAGTAATCTTATACTCTATAGTATGGGGGTGGGAAGTAGCAGTGCTTTGTGGCTGTTTCCAAGAAGTTGAAAGTAAGCCAAACATAGGTGCATGCACCTTTGAACCCAACACTCGGGAGACTGAGGCAGAAAGATCAAGAGTATGTAGCAAGAATTTTCTCATTTTTTTAAAAAAAGCAAGCAAACAATGAAAAAGAAAAGAAAGAAAGGAATTAAGAAAGTGAGAAGGAAAGGAGAGAAAAAAAGAGATGAAATTAGTTCTGTATCACAAATGAATAAATCTCAAAATAATACAATATTGACAGAGAAGCTGGCAAAGGGATTTGTCAAGTGTCAGCATCTTAGTAAATGTTTGAAATGTACACAATGTTCTTTTTGGATTTGCAGGTATGTAGGAAAATTATAAAAATAGGCGTGGGCCTGAAATATACCAAGGCCAGAGTGGTGCTTACGTCAGTGGGGTACAGTTAGGAGAAGGGGGAAGAGATAGGCCACGGGGGCTCTGGATTATTTTTCTGTGAGAGTGCGCATGTCTATGGAAAGAAATATTTCCTGTATTCTCCCACAGTTTGAGAGATAGAAGAAAGTTGACCAGAGTCTCCTGATGTAGTCTTGAAAGAGCAATTACCTTTAATCCAGCACTCGGGAGGCAGAGGCAGGCTGATTTCTGAGTTCGAGGCCAGCCTGGTCTACAGAGTGAGTTCCAGGACAGCCAGGGCTACACAGAGAAACCCTGTCTGGAAAAACCAAAAGAAAGGAAGAAAGGAAGAAAAAAAGAAAGAAAGAAAGAAAGAAAGAAAGAAAGAGCAATTAACTCCTCCATCTTCCCTTTGCTCCCCTCCAGCGCTGGTGTGGGCAGAACAGGGACGTTCGTTGCCCTGGACCGGATCCTCCAGCAGTTGGACTCCAAGGACTCCGTGGACATTTATGGGGCAGTGCATGACCTAAGGCTCCACAGGGTTCACATGGTCCAGACAGAGGTAAGACTTCTGAGCTGGACACCAGTGTCCTCCCACACACCTCCCCCCCACCCCAGAAAAAAACTGTCCAGGATATCTGAGCAAGATACAGAAGTGAAGAAATATATTTTCTAAGACTTCATATTTTGAGGTAAAGCTCATTGCCTTCAGCATTAAGTATATTCTCTACTGAGCTTCTCGGGGAAGAATTTATTCGGGTAGACAGGAAGAAAGAGAGAGTGTTTTCGGAAAGCATTACACGTGGGGGACTGGCTAGACCACTTAAGAACTCATTGCAAGGCCGCCTAGTAGATAAGCACAGAGATGTCTATAAAGACTTCTAAATCTCTTCCCTCCCCCAGCTCCACCCACATCCTCATCTCTGGATACACCAAGGGCTGTTTATCAGGAAGGTTACATGTCTCCCTTTGAGAAGTCCTTTGACATTTGTAGATCCTTCTAAAGATACTGTCCCATGGTGTTTATGTTCATTTCTAAGCTAGGAAACTAAGGCCCAGAGGCTAAAACATTTTGTACAAAATCCATAGCCATGCTGGGCAGTGGTGATGCCTGCCTTTAATCCCAGCTCTCAGGAGGCAGAGGCAGGTGGAATTTGAAGCCAGCCTGGTCTCCACATTGAGTTCCAGGACAGCAAATGCTACAAAGGGAAACCCTGTCTTGAGTATATAGGCAATACAAATTGGACTTGGTAGATTTTTGTTTGTTTATTTGTTTGTTTGTTTGTTAATTTGGGTTTTTGGCAGGGCGGGGAGCAGAGCAAGCGTGGGAGGGTGAACCTGGGAAGAATGGGAGGTGAGTGTGACCAAGGTACATTATATGAAATTGCCAAATAATTAATAAAAATATTTTGTTGGTGGGGCGGAGGGGGCAGGGAGGGAGTTCATAGCCACGAGGTAGCCAAGCTTGGACCTTGTTCTGGATACCAAGCCGTTGACCCACAGCCTACAGTCAGGTCTAGACACAAACCTTATATATACTGAGCACACTTCCTGCTTACATGAATACCTTCCAAAGCTCAGGTTCTCCACTCATTGGCTTTCCAACATTTTTGTTCAAGTAACTCAGAGGGAAAAGACAAAACTCTAAAACTCTAGAAAACTTTCCATGGAAGAAAAGTTCTGTCTGAATGCTACCATACAGACACGGTAGCTGTGGAAACCACACACGCAGCCGTGCTCCTCAACCAGCACCCCGCAGCAACCAGCACCCCGCAGCAACCAGCACCCCGCAGCAACTGGCACCCCGCAGCAAGGTTCCCTTTGAGCTCTGTTGAACTCATTCTTCTAAAATCACACTGTCCCCTGAATTCTTTCTGGTGCAGCATACATTAGCGTCCTGCGGAGCTCACCTTCTATGCCACAGTTGGCAAAAGTCCTTCCCTCTCCTGTAAATAGTACCTACTCACCAGATCTGCCATCACAATTGTACTAGCCCTGAGTGTGTGTCTGTGTGTCTGTGTGTGTGTGCTATTGTTTAGATAGTGATTTTTAAAGATTAGTCTACTTTTATTTATAAGTGTGTGTGTGTGTGTATGATAGACAGAAAGAGCGAGAGAGCGAGAGAGAGTGAGAGAGAGAGCGAGAGAGCGAGAGAGAGTGAGAGAGAATGAGAGAGAGCAAGAGAGAACGAGAGAGCGAGAGAGCGAGAGAGAGCGAGAGAGAGCGAGAGAGAGAGAGAGAAAGAGAGAGAGAGAGGCCAGTACATAACAGTGGCTGAAGAGTCCTGGAGTTAGACCCCGTTTTTACCTCCCAGCCCCATTGCTCCCAGAAACAAGACTCAGACTCAGATTATATTTACAAATGCCTTGGCCATATAGCTAGGCTCTGCTCTGACTAGATCATAACTAAAGATACTTACTTATTTTAACCTACATTTCGTCACGTGGCTGGTTACTGTGCTCAGGTACCATGTGTCCGTCTCCTCACCTCTTTTCGGGTTCATCTCTCTTCCTCCTTCTCTCCCAGAATTCTCTCTCCTCCTGGTGTCCCCACCTCTATTTCCTGCCTAAGCCACAGGCCACACACTCTTTAATTGACAGGTGAGGCATCCATGCAACACATAAGATGTTCTCTCTACAGGAGAGGCCCGAAGATGGCACTGGGGTCCCCTGTAGCTGAGGCTGGTTATAGGTGGTCGTGTACCACCCGTTGTGGGTGCTGAAAACGAAACCCTGATCCTCTTCAAGAGCAAGTGTTGTCAACCATGGAGCCATCTCCCAGTGCCACTTCTGTTTTGTTGGCCCAAGACCTCACTATATAAGCCAGGTTAGCCTTGAACTCGCAATCCTTAGTCACCAGAGCAATAAGGTTAGAAGCTTGTGCCACTGTGACTGGCTGGTGTATTCACTGTAGCAGTTTATCTTCTGTGTTCTCAGTGTGTCATTATGAAATTGTTTAAGTGCTTACAAAACCTGGGCTATGCATAGTTTCGTGGTAGAGTGCTCACCCAGTTTGCACAAGGCCCTAGGTTTGTTCACCAGTACCATGGGTTAGAGGCGGGGAGGTAACTAGGAAAATCAGATAATGAACTCCATTAACCCAAACCCCAGTTTCTACAAATAGCAACATGTTATTTCCTCATCTGTATCTCACACCAATTCTCTGACCTCATAAAGCAAATCCATATATGTCTATGTGTGTGTGTGTATACATATACATATATGTGTTTGTATGTGTGTATAGGGCTATGTTTATATGTATATATGTGTATATATGTGTGTATATGTATATATATTTATATGTGTGTGTATGTCTGTGTGTATATGAATATATATGTGAGTGTATATGTGCATATATGTATATATATGTGTATATATGTGTGTATATATATTTATATATGTGTGTGTATATGCCTGTGTGTATGAATATATATGTGAGTGTATATGTATGTATATGTATATATGTGTATATGTATGTGTGTGTATATGTCTGTCTGTATGTGTATAAATATACACATGTGAGTGTATATGTGTGTATATGTATGTATGTAAGTAGACAGATGTTCTTCAACATCATGACCTCTTTGCCGTTTCTCACACTTGACAATTTTAATTGCAGTTCCCTACTCAGTATTTAGATACCCTTCCCATTTTTAATTAATTTTTATTTTTATTTGTTTATTTATTTTTGGTTTTTCAAGACATAGTTTCTCTGTGTAGCCCTGGCTGTCCTTCAAGTCTTCAGATAGACCAGGCTGACCTGGAACTAGATTATCTGCCTGTGTCTGCCTCCTGAGTATGCACCTCCATACCTGGGTCCTACCTATGTTTTATTTTTAAAAAATATACATATACATATCATATACATCATATACATACACATATACATATATTTGTGTGTGTGTGTAAATTATCTAGCTTTCCTTATCTAGCTTTCTTTAAAGCCCCAAATCTACTCATTTCATTCATTTGTAGTACAAAGCTTTGTCCCTCTCCTGTCTGTAATAATCCTTCTTCCCGTTTGTTTTCTGCGACATTTATTCGTCAGAGATCCCAGCTCTCTGTTCCATTTCCGTAGCGGTAGTGTGGTCCACCACTTCTTGTGCTTGTGGTGAGCTGGCTGTTGGGGCCAGAGGCTTACTAAGCTGCAGTTCTACAGCCTCAGTGCTCCTAGGCTGTTGCTGGGCACCTCCTTTTGTCACAACATAGGACAGGCAGGCCATCACATCCGTGTTGCTCGGTAAATTCAGACTAAATCGATGGTGACCCCACTGGCAGGACCCCAGTCTCTCATTCTCAGGTTTCCCAGTAACTGTGCCTTCACTATGGCTGCTGGCTGGCTGTCATTTCACTTAGGGGACAGGATGATATCACTCATATCTTTTTTTGTTGTTGTTGTTCCTTTCTTTGTTTCCTTGTTTGCTTGCTTGTTGTTTGTTTTTTCTGTTTTGTTGGATTTTGTTTTGTTTTGTTTTTTGAGACACAGTTTCACTGTGTAATAGCCCTGGCTATCTTAGACTCACTCTGTAGGTCAGGCTGGCTTCAAACCCACAGAGCTCCGCCTGCCTCTGCCTCCCGAGTGCTGAGACTAAAGGCGTGCGCCACCATGCCCGGCTTCACCATCATCCTTCCCTACCCCGGAAGGATGAGGCCTTGGGACTAGAAACTTTTCTGTCTCTGTATGGCTTTTTGAAATCTATTCTACAAATGAGCAGATAGCCTACAATTACGTTGCTAGAAAGTCGGCACCAGTGTTTTATTTTGGTATCACTTCCACAAACTCAGACTGTAATTAATTTGTAAATTGCGCTCTCTCTCGCTCTCTCTCGCTCTCTCTCTCTCTGTGCGTGCGTGCGTGCGTGCGTGCGTGCGTGTGTGCGTGTGTGCGTGTGTGTGTGTGTGTGTATTCAGGCTCCTGATCACTTTCAGATAAAACTTTGGCTATACATCACTTCCATGAACCTGTCCAAACTCTTGGAGTTACACATGGGCCCCAAGCAAGGGCCTCTGTTTCCATCACTGTCTGCCTTTCTGAGCAGAGGCAGCTGACATGGACCAAAGCTCTTCCTTTCGGAGAATAACTAGTAATTTACTCAGGCATGCTGACTGCTCTCATGAGAAGGGGGCACTGGGACCATATGGGATGTAGTGTCTCGGCTCCCATTTAAGAGACAATCCTGGACGTCACCCATGACACAGGCAACCTATGTAAGTTAGCCACACTGGACTCCCAACTCAATTTCACCATCTCTTCCTAGGTCGACATTTTCTTTCTCCAAATGATCTTGAGCGTTTCCTGTCCTGCATAAACCTTTATGAACAATTCTAGTTTACCTCCTCCTAGATATTTGATCACATGTCTGTCCTTCTGCTAAACTATGCTCTCAGGAATCATGAACCAAATGGCTATAAGTGTAATACTATAAATTACATACCGTAGACAACACTACAAAGATTGGTAGACTTAAATGGAAAGGGACATGTTAGCACTCAGCCAGCACTTCCCCCATTAGAAAAAAAAAATCTTTTGTGAGTTGAGGTTTGCATTTTTTTTTTTGCATTAAGAACTTAAGGGGGTACAGTAGCAACTTGATGATTTTGAGGTAATCAGTTTTTGAAGGAGCATCCTATTGGGAAAAGAAAAGTTGATATTTAAGACAAGGCAAATTAATAGAGAGTAATTAGTTTCAAAGCCCATGGTGGATCACGGTTGAACAATGTATTACTAAGCTATGGCCTGGGTATAACAGAGTTCATTTGAAGCTTACCTCTTCCATCCACAAGCAATTTAATTAAAACATAGGAGTTAGGTGGAGCTGGAGAGGTGGCTCAGCCCCTCATGTGTGCTTACTGCTCGTTCAGAAGATTCAGATTGGGTTCTCAGCCCCACATGAGTGATACCCTGTAACTTCAGCACTGACCCCATCTTCTGACCTCCAAGGGGCTCCTGCACATACATGGTGCACATAAACTCAGACAGACGCACACACACACACACACACAATCAGTCACTTTTCAAGGTGGAATAAAATCGAGTATGATCTGTGATATATATATTTTTAAAAAGCAACCAAATAATAGTTTCTAATAGTTCTTAATTCTGGAGCAATTCTTGTTTATGATTTTTTTAATGTCCTAACCTAGCTGATACTACAGCTCAGTGGTAGAGCTCTTACCTAGTATGTGTGAGGCCCTAAGTTCAATTCCTAGTACCACAAAAGATCACAAGCAGAGGAGGTCTGAGGATGTAGCCCAATTGGTAGAGTGCTTGCTCAGCATGCAAAAAGCCCTGAGTTCATTCCCCAGTTTGGAATAAAACATGATGCCCCTTATGTGTTCCCAACACTGGGAACTAAGGCTGGAAGACTGGAAGTTCAAAGTCAGCCCTGGCTATATAGCAAGTTCAAGGCTGGTCTAGACTATGTGAGACTCTTCAGAAAACTAAAAACTGAAAGTTTGAATCTAGTGACTATCCTAGACCTACTTTCTAAAGTCATTAGTAGAATACCAGGCCAGTTTCCAATCAGGGATGCTGTCTAGTGCCACTTGTAAAAACAAGAACTGTTCACTTTGAAAAAGTATTAGTGAGGGGAGTCTTTTATTTCCACATTGTATCTCAAATCTTTAAAACCCTACAAGCACCATAGCATGGATCACCTTAAACACACAGTCCAGAAAGAGGGCTCCATACCCATCCACCTGATACTGATACCAAGTCTAATACCTTGAATGGACAGAGGATATTATCCGGAGAGAAGAACCTGAGTTTCTTGTGTTGAAGGGGAAACAGACTCTAAGATGCTTCACTACTCTCTCAACCTGTGGGAAGAAAGCCAATCTCCCTTGAATGGCCTACATTCCTCTCAGTCTTCTTACACCCTGGGTTCCAACAATGGCTGTATCATGATAAGAAGCACAAGGCCCAGTACTACAGACAACAGGCCTCCATACCTTGGTAGAAAGGAAGGGAACCTCATTCATAAGTTTGGTTGCCTGCAGCCAAGACTTTATCATCAGTGGAATCTTTATGGTGTCTTTATGGTCACCAGGGCACTTTACCCTCCTGTATTTTTTTAACTTTTATTTATTTTATGTATATGAGTACATTGTTACTGTCTTCAGACACACCAGAAGAGGGCATCAGATCCCATTACAGATGGGATGTGAGTCACCGTGTGGTTGCTGGGAACTGAACTCAGGACCTCTGGAAGAGCAACCAGTGCTCTTAACTGCTAAGCTCTCCAGCCCACTCTCCTGTATTGGTTTTCTAAAATAGTTAATCCCCAAATGGCTAGCCTGAGGGCCTGTCCTCTTTAAGTAACCCTCTGTAGGTCTCAGACATCCACCTGCATCTTTGAGGTTCTTCCACGTTTCAGACTCAGATGCTAAAAGGACAAAGACCTAGACACTGAGCTTGTGTTTGAAGCTGCGGCAGTCAGTGGGCTAATTGTACACACCTTTCCCCCCCACACACCATATCCGAAATAAAAGGGGCACAGAAGAGGAAAGAGTGTGCAATGAAATGGATTCTTTATAAGAAAATAAATCAATATACCGAGAATGTGAACTTGGGGAGGAGTCACGCCTCTAGCGTCAAATCCGAAGGTCCCATTTCTTGGCCATACAAATTAGGCAGAGCTAATCAACTCTGGGTCTCAGTTTGTGTTATGGTTGCATCTGCTTCACAAGGGTGTTGTGCTCATAAGATAGCTCATGTAAAGGGCGTAGCGAAGTGTTTGCATGCATCCTTATGAAGGACCCATTGTGTGCAAAACATAGTTCTAGGCACTCACAGCACCTACTGTAGAGATATTAAAGATAGAGATACATATTTTAAGAGAGTGGATGGGAACCGAGGAGATGGTTCAGACAGTCAAGTGCTTACTATACAAGTGTAAGGACCCAAATTTGGATAAAAAGCCAGACTCCCAAGTGAAGTCCCAGCCAGCTCTGGAACAAAAGGAAACTCTGTTTCAGAGAGAGAGAGAGAGAGAGAGAGAGAGAGAGAGAGAGAGAGGGAGGGAGGGAGGGAGAGACAGAGAGAGAGAGAGAGAAACAGAAAAAAAGAGATTATAATTATACAAAATCCCAGCAACTGTGGGTGTTTTGTGACAGTACTGGCTGGTTTTGTGTATCAACTTGATACAAGCTAGATTCGGTAGAGAAAGAAGCCTCAGTTGAGGAAACACCTCTGTGAGATCCAGCTGTAAAGCATTTTCTCAATTAGTGATCTATCAGGGAGGGCCCAGCCCATGGTGGGTGGTGCCATTCTTGGGCTGGTAGTCCTGGGTTCTATTAGAAAAAAGGCTGAGCAAGCCAAGGGAAGCGAGCCAGTAAGCGGCACCCCTCTATGACCTCTGCATCAGCTCCTGCTTCCTGGCCTGTGTGAGTACCAGTCCTGACTTCCTTTGGTGATGAACGGCAATGAGGAAGTGTAAGCTGAATAAACCTTCTCCTCCCCAGCTTCCTTTTTGGTCATGGTGTCTCATCACAGCCATAGAAATCCTGACTAAGACAAGTCCCTTAACTTTCTTCTGCTTGAGGACACCTTTCTCTGATGTGCCCTCTGACTTCCCACAGTGCCAGTACGTGTATCTGCATCAGTGTGTGAGAGACGTCCTCAGAGCACGGAAACTGCGGAACGAGCAAGAGAACCCCCTGTTTCCGATCTATGAGAATGTGAATCCAGAGTATCACAGAGGTAAGACCTCACCAGCTTCCACTTCGTTTGCTTTGAGTTCATTTCCAAAATGCATTCAGTCTGGAAACTAGTACTAGTTCAATGTTCCTCCAGCACAAGCCTCCAATTTCTTCTTCTTCTACCAGAAAGACACCCCCAAAAATAGCAGAGAGGAGAGGCAGAATGGGGAGGGGTTCCATAACTCAACAGTCATTGATACGTTCTCCGGTGCTGGCATGATACCTAAGTTCACACATGGAGGGCAGATGCTCCGATGATGAACTATACCCCCAGTAGCCTATCTCAACTGTCTGCCTGCCTAGCCCAGCATGCTCGCTACAAAAGACTTTCCCTAATATTTCTTTTCTATGGGATAAGACTGACCACTGGGAGAAACAGCACTGAAGCTATAACTGGGAGTTCAAATTGCAAACCTGATGCCGAAAATAATTTGGCAATCAGGGTTTCAGTGGCTTTAATGAACTCATGTCTGTGACCGAGTGTTTTTCCTATTATCTCAAGTATACAGAATATACTTTGTGCATAACACCTTTTCAGTTACAAGTTGGAGTAAAAAGCAATACTGCCACAGAGAACTATCTATATTAGTCCATTTGACATTGTCACAGCAAAATCCTTGAGATGGCAGACATCATAATGCAGACCATTTGTTTAGCTTACCCTTTTGAGGTTCAAGAGCATGACATTTGTGTCAGCTCAGTATTGGTGAGGATGTCACAGAGAATGCTGGACAGGAGTCACAGTCACATCTCCAACCAGGAGACAAGAGAACAGGGAGAGACAAGACTGAGTAACCCAATGATAGCTTCCCCTGAGGACTCCTCATCTTCCCAAGGGTTCACCACAGCATTGTCTAACACTGTCACCTGGCAGACCAAGTATTCGACTATATTGGACCCTTGAGACAGAAGTTATATTCAAGTCATAGCAAGGACTAGCTATGCCAGAGCACACTCACTAATACTAGTACAGTGTGGCCATTAAGAGTGGGCTCCTTTGTTTTGACGTTTGAGGTAAAGGCTATGCTGCCTAGATTGGCCTTGGCTCAAGCATTCCTTCTGCCTCAGCCCTGCCATTAGCAAGACTAGAGACACATGCCTCCATACCTGGCTCCAGAATAGTATTTTTGAAGATATCATTTTAGTATTGAGTCCCTTATAAAGAAGCTTGTCGCCGGGTGGTGGTGGTGCATGCCTTTAATCCTAGCACTTGGGAGGCAGAGGCAGGCGGATTTCTGAGTTCGAGAGTTCGAGGCTAGCCTGATCTACAGAGTGAGTTCCAGGACAGCCAGGGCTACACAGAGAAACCCTGTCTCAAAAAACCAAACCAAAAAAAAAAAAAAAAAAAAAAAAAAGAAGCTTGTCTTGGTTGCTATTACAAAACACTAGATAGATACTTTATAAAGACAAGGTATTTGGGATAGGGGTATAGCTCAATGGTAGAGCTCATACCAGAAAAGAAAAAGAAAAGGAGTCCATGGGTAAGCTGACCTCATGCGTTTGGCCTCTGATGGGGCCCAGCAGTTACTTACATCAAATGAGATCATGTGGACAGAGAGAAAGCAGTAGCTAAGAGCGAACCGTGTTTGTTCTCTCGTGACAACCTATTCTATGAAAGCTAGTTCACGCCTGTGAAACCTAACCCACTCTGAGAGAACAACTCTAACCTCTCAGTGATCCCGTCACCTCCCGCTGGGCCCACTTCTCATAGGCCCCACCACAGTACAGCAGAGACCAAATACCACCGAGTGACAAACCGTAGCTTAACCACGGCATGGCAAGTTAAGAAGCACGTAAAACAGACAGAAGCAATATCTATAGGGTGAAAAAATAAACAGGAGAAGATCTGCCAGTCAAATGGATCTCTCCGACCACATGATGTTTTCGGCCATTTTATAAATCTTCTAGAACAAGTATGTAACAGTTTTCAGATTAAAAAAAAAAATTCAGGAGTAAAAAACAAACAAAAACAAACTTCTTGAGGCGTGCTTTCATCAAGCAATTATTATCTGGCAAGAAGAGGATTCCTGCCTCTGGCCCACCATTGAGGCCAAAGGTACCACCCAGGCTGGGAAGGGGTATGATAGGCCTCAGATCCTTGGTGTTCTGCTCACACTTTTGACAGACACATCTCAGACCTGCCTTCTCTGTTGCCTTCTCTGTTGTCTGCTGTTTAGCTGACAAGAGTTTCTCTGCATTCTCACTCCCTGCCCACCCAGCCAGCATGTTATTCAGTGAGCTATAAAGAACCCGGTAGAGAGGAGTGCTTTGTAAATCAGATAATCTTTTGTGTTGTAAATAATTACCCCCTAATTTATCTGTGAAGTAAATTAAGGTTTTCGCATGTCAGCCTCCTTTTAAGAAACTCCAGGATGGTGGAGGTTGATGGGGTAGATCTTAAAGGGTTCTTTGTCTTGTGTTAACTTGTTTGAGAATCTTTAAAAAAAAAAAAAAAAACTAAGCTTGGGCGTGCCTAGAAGAAGCTGACTGTGGGCTTGGAACATAACCATTATCCTAAAGGCTAGGTTCAGATCATAGCTCTGAAGCTGCCTAGAGTTCATAATCGATGTCTCCTCAGGCAGAATACTCTGTGTCCTGGCCTTGACCTGCCTCTGTCACCCAGAGGCAAGACATGGGCAACTGGAGTCCCTTCCAAGTCCAGGGATCTGCCTTCCTAAAGAGGGTGGGCTATTATCCATAGTGATGCTCTGTCCTAAATAGCTTAGTGATGTCCTCAATCCCTTTAGTGATGTCTACCAGTGTCTGCCATGTATACATTTCAGAAGTAGGACAGTGGAGATAGTCCTCTACAACAGCGGTTCTCAACCTTCCTGATGCTGTGACCCTTTAATACAGTTCCTCATGTTGTGGTGACCCCCAACCGTAAACTTTTCATTCCTACTTCATAACTGTACGTTTCTATTGTATTGAATCACAACGTAACTATCTGATATGTAGGATATCTGATATGAGACCCTCAAAGGGAATGTAACCCATGGTTGAGAACTGCTGTTCTACAGTTTCTAACCATGCCATCTTTGCTTCCAGATGCAATCTACTCGAGACATTAAGAATCCACCTGAAGATTCCCTGGATAAAAGTTTTTCACTATGTGACTCGTAAAAAAAAAAAAAAAAATCAAACCTTGCTTCATGCCCTGTGGCGTTGCCAGCCATTTCTGTTGATACTATGTATAATTTATTAATCTGAAGAATGTTAAAGAATTTATGTAATTTAAAGGTAACAGATATTATTGTATATACTTGTATTTTGTAGTTCCTCCTGTAAATATGTATTTTTCATAATGTTTAAAATTAAGCTTTATATAATACTATTTTTTCACACTAAAAGTGTTCATGGCTTGTTCTACACAAACCCATTCAACCTGTATGACAGGACCACTGGTAAAATGTGTATAAAGGAAGTTGCAAAGACAGTCCCTGGGGCTGTTTCTTACCTATCCTGATAATCACTGGGTAAACCAAAGTCAGAGCTGGAGAGAGCATACCACAAGGCTAGCTTTGTTGAGCTGATTTCTTATGAATGAACCCTGGGATCTAAAAAAATATAACAGTCGAAGAGAGACTAGGGCTGTGGCCAAACCTTGGTGGTAGACCATATGCCAAGAAATTTAAAATAAATTAATGAATTTAAATTTGACAGCACCAAAGCTTGGTGTTGTCTGAACTAGAAGCTTTTTGTCTGACTCCTCCCAGGGTCCCAAGCCATGGTTGCCTTGAAGCTTACAGTGACCGCAGGGTTAAGGGTTTCCTTTAGTGAATGATACTAACAGGGGTGAGGAACGCTCCTGTCAATAACACCAGCTGCACCTCTGCCTGCAACCTCCTGCCCAGAGCAGCCTGCCACCTGCAACAGTCCCAATTGGTTTTCCTCTGGACAGAGTTACAATGGTAGATTACGCTCTTGATCGGAGAAAGCATGGTATGCCAATATGTTCGTAGAAATATCTATAACATCATATATAATGAGTTAAAAAGTAAATGATGGTTAAAAACAAACAAACAAACCCCAGCTCTCCTAAGTCTAAAAATCCTTCAAAAGTTCTAAGTGAAGGCAGTTAAAATATCTTCAAGTACTCACCTGAAGCTCCGTTTAATATAAGCGGTGCCACACGCCCTACGGATTTTATCATTAAGACCTGTGTTTTATTTAACTATGAATAATTCCAAGTGACTCAGAGGGTGGCCATTGCCCAGATCAAGGCCCGATGATTCGTAGATGTTTCCTGAGGAAGGCCTAGAAAGAGTCCTGTGGGTGCCTGAGTGAGCTGTCACACTTGCTGACCTCAGAGCTTCATTTGCAGAAACAGCAGCTTCTCCCAGACATATGCATTTTTGCTGCATAGCATAAGTTCCCGTAATAGGAAGGACATAATTGGCATAACAATTGAAAATAAGTAAATATACCTATTGTATAGGTAAATATCATGGTTAACTTTAGTTTGTAAATATAATGTGATCTTCTTAATTACACAGCTACACACCCAACCGGAAAATGGTTTTAGGGAGTGTTTGAAGTTTATAGAAACAGAGGAACTGTTCCTGAGGATACCTGTGAAGAACATTCAGAGTTCTCACAGTGTCCCTCTGTTCCGTGCCCTCATGAAAATGATACTGGGAAGCTCTGGCCCCGTGTCCAGAAACGTGGTGGATGTTTCAAACAGGAAAAAGAGGAAGAGAGGTGCAGGCATATAACTGTAACTAGGGAGAAAATAGAGGTCAGACATGGTTTAGGTGTGGCGTCTGTTAGGAGTCATTGTTTTCTTAGAGGAAAAAGAAGAAAGCTAGGCTGAGGGAGCAGCTCTGAGGTAGCATGCTTGTGTGTCCATCTCTTCCCTCCCGAGAAAAGAAAGGGGATGTGGGGTGGAGTTCTAAACTGATGTTGCATGGTGCAAGGCATGTTGATAACCTGGGAAGAGAAGATTATTTGCATTCCGAGAAAAGTTCCAGCAAGGGCCTGGAACCTGCTGGGCACTGTTGCAAAATCTGTTTCTTTGTGTCCTCAAGGAGAGAAGCACACTGGACTGAAATTACCATTGTTACTGTTTTCAATAGGAAGTGGAAGAGAGTCTGGGCAAGGGGAAGAGACCAGTGTTGCCTTCCTTAGGGCACCTGCTAGCAAGGGCTGGAGAGGTTTCTGTGGCAAGTCACTAGATGTAGAAGAGAAAGCAGTTAATTGCACACGCAGGAACTACAACCGAAAACCCCCTGCATGTCTGTAACCGTAAATGACACTCACACACCTCAAAGCATCTCAGGTGAAGTCAGAATTACAGCCACACAACCAGGGGACAGCAGGCATTCTTGTTCTCTATTCCAGGAAATACTAATGCTTCTTCTGTACTAGTTTTAAAGCCCCCTTAGCAACAAAGACTTCTCTATGTAATCTCTCTCTTGGGAAGATGTAAGACAAATCTAGTTGATCCACCCATGGAATTTAGCAGAGAGCCAAACTGGAAATGTAGCTACCGATAGGATGCTTGCCAGGCATGTGGGAGGCCCTGGGTTTAGTCTCAGGTAACACAAAATAAACAAGGAGAGAGAAAGAAGGGTTTCTTCGCCCGTTCGTTCTGTTGGGTGCATCTCTTAATTGCTTCATGTGGCTGTGCCTCGGTAAACACTCCACTTCCCGCCATGCCGGGCATCCTGTCTGCACCTGAGCAGGGCTTTCAAGTACTTCAAGGCTCTCAGACCTTGAGAGAGTCTGTTTTGCATCTTAGTAATTATTTACCCAGATTCCTTATAATTAACTCCTCTAATCTTTCACATTAAATCAATTTCACATTACCAGTCCGCTTTGCTCTGGAGAGCAGCCAAGTTCCCCACTCCTGATTTTTTTTTTTTTTTCAAAGATGCATCTCCCTGTCTGGGCTTGCGAATGTTCATCTTGAGGCACGTCCCCTCCTTTAGTGCCCTGCATTCTGCCTTCCTGCTGCTTGCTGCTTCTTCCTGCCGAGTGGCCTACTGTGTCTGTCCGATGTGACTTTATCTTCTGTTCGTCTCATCTCTTTCCACCCACTGCTAGCATCTCGTCACCTCAACACCCTACAAGAGCGATTAAGATTTAATTTTTCAACATCGAAACGGCAACAACATAGCAATTTGGGGTCAGTTATATTTAGGAGGCTCTGTAATTAATTCTGTGATTACCTCTTGGAGGAAAGCCCAACATGATATGAGAAAATAATGTGAAACGCTTTAACAGATGTCCAGCGATACAGAAATAGGGCGCTCATGATACACTTCACAGTGCTTCTCTTAGCTCCGTGTTAAGGCTCTAACTGCTTATATTAAACACTTTCTGATCCCGTGGCAAAAGAGGAAGGAAGGAAGGAAGGAAGGAAGGAAGGAAGGAAGGAAGGAAGGAAGGAAGGAAGGAAGGAAGACCTGTCATGTACTTAATTCTTGTTCAGTTAGTTTATGGACATTTTGGAGGGTCAACTCCTAAAGTTACTAGCTCTGTATATTTACCTCAGACCCCCAGCCACAGGACACAAGCTTCCCCAACCAAACCTGACTGTACCACGCTGAATAAGTAATAAGCCATAGCTACTTGTTTGTAGAAACAGTTCGGAGGTTTTCTGAATTCTGTTTCATTGGGGGGAACAAATGAATGTGACTGACCAGACAAGAGTGGGAAGAAGGCATGAGCAATCAATCCCAGAGAGCAAGCTCTCATCCCCGAGGAGTTGGCAGAAACGTGGCACACCTGCCTGAATCCCCCGCAACCATTCCGAGGACCCTTGATCCAAGCTTGAGAAGTTCGGTGTTCAAAGAGTGTTTCACAGTCAAGGAAGCTCGACCACGACTGCAGGGAGGAAGTGAAATGGTGAGAAGAAAGAAACTGTTAAGAGAAGAGACCACCAAGGCAGACATCGGGAAGGCAGAATGGCCGGTCTTCCTTCTTGGGAGGGTCTTTAAACATCTCATCATGTATTTCTATTAGGACAGATGGTTTAAACATCTCTAATCTCCAAATCTGAAACTCAAAATGCTCCCAAGTCCGAGGATTTTTTGAGCACTTACTTGACTCAGTGGTAAATTCTACAGCTGGCCTCATGTCATCTGTCAGTCAGAACACAGGGCCATTGCCACTACTGTGGAAACTTACCATCAGCCATGCGTACAAGGTACATGAGAGACTGAAATGAACTTCATGTTTAGACTCAATTCATCCTCAAGACTTGTATTTATTCAAATATTCCAAATTTATGTTAAGATCGGATTCCAGTGGAAAGCATTTCAGGTAAAGAATCTCTGACTTGCGTGACTATTGTTGGGGTTCACTGTGACCACGGTGGTCAGGCTATCTAGATGATTCAACAGTCGGACTGGTTTCCTTGGCTTTTGAATTAAGCAGGTATGTGACTTGTCACTGTAGACACAGCACCTTAGAGTCTTATAGCGCAGGATAACTATATGATACATTGTTTGGCCATTTCGGTTGAAACCCGGGGTGACATTCGATGCAGCCATGATAACAACAAAAATCTGGTCTCTTCTAAAACTGTGTGTAGCACTGAAAACGTTTCCAGCTGAAAGTACTTGACTGAGGGTGGCTTCCTTGGAACAAATACATGCATTTTATTTTTCAAGGACTGTCTATATAGATAACATTCATTAAGTAAGGACATTGTTGGTGAACGCTTCCCAAAATAGAAGTTTATATAATGGAAATATTAAAAAATCTATTGAAAGATGTGCCAAAGATTATTTTTAACCTATATGCTAATGCACATGAACTTATGTAAGACACCAAAGAAAACTGTTCAAAACTGTAAATAGTGTCAGACAAATGTAACATGTCTCTTAGAATAGTCACAAGAAGGGCTAGTTTGGATTGTTCTCTGCCTCAAGTAATTCTCTTTAAGAAATGCCATTCTTGCCCCAACAGTAAGCTTTTCCATTACGTCTGAGATGTGTTTTGGGAGCTATGTGTGTAAATGTGCATTGCACTGAGAAAGGAGTCCATGTGATCGTGGCTTTGGAATCCAACAGCCTCCATCCGCCATTAGTGGGAAGGTCTGCACCAGAGTTCAGTCTTCTGGCCTCAGCCACGGTGACAAGAGAGGACAAGGTCCCCACTTAAAGAGCACTTCATCTTGGATGTGTTTGTGAGGCTTGGTTCCCCAAGAACGAAGAGTAAGTCTCTCAGCTTGACTTCCACCACACAGAGAACAGTTCACAGCTCACACACCCCGCATGCACCGTTTAAAGCGGAAGCTGCTTCTGGCTGTGTGCTTTGGACGTCAGATTGTGCCTACGAATTCTAAAGTCCACAGAGGTGCATTTAGCTGCTCTGTCATCTGTGTGAAGCATAATATATAATGTAAATTATCCCAGCAACTGAACCTATCATGTTCTATAATAGAGCACTTTCCTGGTTTCAAAATCATTTTCCTTCTCTGCAAATCTCGTAAAATGGCAGTAAGTGTATTTTTTCATACTACAGCATCTACCCACGCTATTGCACTGTAACCAGCATTGTTTGAACAAAGAACCTCATCGGTCTTTCTATTTAAATAATGTACGTGCTTAATATATTTCCAGATATGTAACTGTGGTTAAAGGGAACCGCCATGGAATCTTGCACAAACCCTCACCAATGCAGGAATAAAACTGCTGCTCATTGAAAGAGAGTGTCCTGTCTTCTACTTGAATGTTTCTTGCTTACCATTCTGTATCTTCCCCAGCCCGAGAAAGAGGTCAGAAGTGACTGTTTTTTAATTAACATGCACATGCACGCACGCGCGCACGCACGCACTCGTACAAACACACGCACACAACCCAAACCTTCCAGGCTGTTATGACGACTGTGGCTTCAGTTCCTCTGTGGGGACATGGTTTCCTAGGACACTGTGAACACGTGGTGGGCTCTGTGGTTGGCTCTCTCTGCCTTGATGCTTGTTTTCACTTCTGTAGTTCACTAGTAACCAAAAAAAAAAAAAAAAATGCCATCCATGTCCAACAGCGATGGATGGTGCTTTCTCAGAGGTGCCAGGCTGTCGGGATGGCTGGGAGCCCTTCAGGGACTTCACCCATCAGTGGACAGTGTGATGCAGAAGATGCAGAAGATGCGGAAGAGCTGGTGTGATCGCCTCTAGAGTCATGAGGTGACTCTTTGTCATTTCAGTTGAAAGATTGGTGTCCTCCACAAGTCCTGGGTTTACTTGTTTTTTCCCCCCTTATTGTTTTGATTTGCTTTGTTATCTTTCTGTAACACCTCACCCCAAAGCTCTTTATTTTTTTAAAAAAAAGTTATCGCAACAGATTCACACTTAAGACTTAAAGCAATTCCTATAAGACGTTTCTAGGCTCAAATGATCATGGTAGAAAAGCACTTTGTTAAGTGAGGTCAGACGATTTGTTTTTTTCTCTAAAGGATCTATTTGATCAGTTTGTGCTTTAAAAGAAGACCATGACAAAAGAGTTGGATGGCTCAGCAAGTAATGGCATTTGCTGATGGCCTGTGTTTGAGTCCCAGAATCCATATGGTAGAAGACAGCCAGTTCCTAAAAGTTGTTCTCTGATCTCCAACTGCACATCATGACATTCCTGTATCCCCCAATACATCTGTATAGATTATATAGGTGATTGCTATAGATGATATAGACATAGGTATAGATGATACAGATAAAGAGATAGAGATAGATGATAGGTAGAGATATACAGATATATACATACATATACACACATGCACACACACATGAACACACAAACACACACGTGCTCACACACACAGACACATGCATGCACACATGCACATGAACACACAAACACACACATGTGCTCACACACACACGCCATGGAGCCTAAGACAAGAGGATTGCTTTGTTGCAAATCTTGAGTTACAAGCAATTGCATGTCACTCGACATGACTTGCTGAGATCCAAACTCAGTTCCTCCTAGATAACCCACAGGCTCTCTTCACCCCTGCGCTGGATCTCTGGCCCCTGTATTTTAAAGTCACACCTTAACAAAGCTCAACATAATCTTAAAGATAAAACAACACTGAATAAGAAAGACTAGCCCAAGCTAGCCTCAAGCCTAAGGTATCCACTTCCACTTCCGCCTCCCCCAGCACTGTGAGGCAAGCCCAGCTAAAAATGTTCCCCAAAGGTAACATGATGTAAAGTTTATCAAAGCTGAGTAGAATAAGCCGTCCAGAATCCAGAGAGGGTTTTGATGCTGCCTATAAACGGAGCATTTGTAACAGATGGGCAATAATTAATGGTTGGGATTTCAGCCTGAGGAAGAGAACCTCACAATAATAGTTCTGCACCAGAGAAATGAACAAGTACTTCCTCAGTATAGAAGATAGCACGCCCAAGTCAGGCTCCGTTTACTGTGACTTCCTTCCTTAGGGAACTGTTACTTTGATGACAGAGAATTGTTGATGTAGGTAAGCTTGGCCTTTCCTGGGACATCCTGTAACAAGCACTGTCTCCTTTGATCAGGTTGCGGGATTTTCTGATTGAGCCTGACCCCTTCGTCAAATCGCTGACAAAAATCTCCCAACTGTGACGTATCATCATTCTCAGAATCTCCTCACCTTCATCCAGCAAGAATTCCCTTGACCTCCTTTATATAAAATTTTTTATTGGTTATTTGTTTACATTTAAAATGTTCTCCCCCTTCTGGTTTCCCCTCCGAAAACCCCCTATCCCACCCCCTCCCCTTGCTTCTAGGAGGGTGCTCACCCACCCACCCACCTACTTCTGCCTCACTACCCTAGCATTCCCCTATGCTGGGGCATTGAGCCAAGGACCCTCCCCTCATTGATCCCCTACAAGGCCATTCTCTGCTACATATGTGGCTGGAGCCATGGGTCCCTCCATGTGTACTCTTTGGTTGATGGTTTAGTCTCTAGGAGCTCTGGGGGGCGGGGGTCTGGTTGGTTGATATTGTTGTTCTTCCTATGGGGTTGCAAACCCCTTCAGCTTCTCCAGTCCTTCCCCTAACTCCTCCATTGGCCTTGACCTCTTTTTTTTTTTTTTTTTTTTTTTTTGGTTTTTTGAGACAGAGTTTCTCTGTGTAGCCCTGGCTGTCCTGGAACTCACTCTGTAGACCAGGCTAGCCTCGAACTCTCAAACTCAGAAATCCGCCTGCCTCTGTCTCCCAAGTGCTGGGATTAAAGGCGTGCACCACCACTGCCCGGCTTGATCTCCTTTTTAAAAGGACTTTTTATTTAAATTTATTTACATTGTATTTTACATCTATGAGTGTATTGCTCGGATATATGTCTGCTCACCGTGGGCATGCCTAGGGCCTATGGAGACCAGAAGAGGGTATCTGATTCCCTGCACTGGAATTATGAATGTTTGTCAGCTGTTATGCAGATGCTGGGAATCAAACTGGTGTCTTCCATCAAGACAGTAAGTGCTCATAAGGGCAGAGGTGACTCTCCAGCCCTTCCTTGACCTTTGGTGCCTCTCCAGACATTTTCATCCACTCATCCTGTTCCTGGGATACTCATCCTACATGTCTCTGTTAGAACCGAGGTGAGTGTGATCTATTTCCGACTGCAAGACCATACTACAATCGTCTTTGTGCGTAGTCTTCCCCGTGACCTACTTTCCTGTTGCTAGCACATGTTGTGCTTACTTTTTTAATGAGTATAATAATGCAAGAATATTTGTGCCCATTATCTTAATGTACATTTACTTTTCCCGAGTGCTCCCAGAGCTCTTGACCCCAGAAAAGCACTTGGCAGTCTTTACAAAAGAGCGGGCACTAAAATAGGTTTCCTGTCTCTCCCACCTTGATGCAAGATCCTGGTACAGGCCTCCAATCCCAGCAATTGGGAGGCAAAGGCAGAGGCAGGCTGATGTCTCTGAGTCTGAGGCCAGCCTGGTCTACAGAGCGCATTCCACAACAGCCAGGGCTACACAGAGAAAATCTGTCTCAGGAAAAAAAAAAAAAAAAAGAGTGAAACAGAAAAGTTGAGGAAGTTGTTTGAAATTCAGCAGGACGGTGACGGGTGTTCTTTGAGAGCAGAACATTTTTGGCTCTTGGGCAGCTTAGGTTGGGGAGCTACGTGCTCAATGGTTAGCAGTCACCAAAGACACCCTGACTTCACGGCTTCCAAGTTCATTGTCTCACACCAAGAGGAACAGGGAAATGCAGACAAGGTGGGGAACAGGACGAATGTTATTTATTAAGACAGCCAGTGACCACACTGTGCTTTCATCTCACTCCTGCAGTAACTGTCACCACCCAGAACACTCCAAACCCCTCTCATTCTGACCCCTGCTCTCCTCTGTTGCTATGGCTTCAGCCGTCTGGGTCTTCCCTGGGATTACTTCCCATACGACTCGATGTCTGTACAGGCTAATAAGTCAGCAGGGCATCTTCTCAGGTGGATTAGTTCGTTGTCAATTCCTTCCATCTTGTCTTCACAGGGCAAAGAGCGTTCTCTTCCCCTGTACTACACCGCCCTGCCCCCAGAAGACTAGAAGGGATAACATGCTTATTTTCTCTAAGCTAAATCCCGTCTGTTTCCTCTAAAGTCCAAGAACATGGCCAGACAATGCTTGGAAACAATGAACGTATATGGCAAAGGAGAAGAGACTGACGTACGCAGACCTGACCTAGGAGATACGAAGGATATCTTATGATACTTAGGAAACACCCGCTAAGACAGACCCCTAAATAGGTGAAACAAAGCCAATTCCCAAATTCAAAGATCTTAGGAATAGGAGGGTAAAGGGGTCACGAGGAGCAAGACGAAGAAAACAGACCTCTCCCAACCCAGTGGTTTCCAACATTCCTTCCCTTTAGCCTCATGTCGTGGTGACCCCCAACCGTAAAGTTATTCTGTTGCTACTTCATAACTGTAATTTCGCTCCTTTTGTGAATCGTACTGTAAATGTCCGTGTTTCCCAGTGGTCTTGTGTGACCCCTGGGAAAAAGTAGGACAACCCCAAAGGGGTTATGACTCATGGGTTGAGAATCATCATCATCATTAAGAGAAAGTTTGGAATGCCTCACTTTGGGTGCATGTGTTATGGGGGAAACCAGGGTCCTCTTTCATGGTCCTTAGCCTCATTAACAAAATATTTTAAGAACAGGCTCAAGGGAAGTTTGAGGACTATTTATCAGAGTTTAAAAAGAAAAACCATAAGGCAGGCTTGCTGTAAATCTTGGCAACTGCCCAGAAGAGGGAAATGGAGAAAAGAAAGAACATTATGCCTTTTGAGTTGGGCATGGAGATTTGGCAAGGAGCCATACGGCAAATGGAAGGCAACTTCAGAGAAACAGTGAAAACCCTCAGAGTACCAGAGGGAAAGTTCTGCTTCCCTGAGCGAAGACGGCAGACTCCAGAACAAAAACAGAGAGCAGGGATTCTGGGAAGGGACATATATTATCTCATTTAGGGGGTAATTATTCCTCCAATATGGATATGGAGAAGCAGATTATTTGTCAGTGATGTATCTGATGACAGGATGAAACCTAGAAAGGTTGTCAGACAGAGTCAGATGCAACAGATAATGATGTCCAAGTCCAGAAAAGACCTTGAAATGGAGAGTCGTTGGTGTTCCGTTAGCATGGCATTGGGTAAATCCATCTTCCAGACAGGGTATCTCTTAGCCAATGGATTGACCTGCCCAATTAGATTAGTGCTAATATTTTGGA